ACGAAAAAATAGGTGTCTATTTACTTGTGACCACTCAGTGTATACAAAGTATAACATTCTCGAATATAACATTCTCTCCGTAAGTTGAGATTTTAATTATGCTTCTGGGACGTTAGATTATTTTGTCAAACATTGTTAAGATGACTTTATAAAAGCACTAAATAAGAACGCTCATTTAGAATATAGCAGAAACTCGAGTCGCCAGCTTTTTATTCTTCTATCTTTGGTCTGATGTGGAATATAGGAAGCTCTCGAAAATCGTGCGAAATCAGAAGTCTAAGCCAGATCTTCAGCTTATTGATGTTAATGTTACTGACTGTAATATGAATCTTGTTTTATAAGAATGATTTTCCTATGCTAACGTTTTAACTACGTATTCCATCTTCCTCGATCTGACTATCATAATTACGCACTATTGCCCGACACCGACATTGTCAGTGAAACAAACTTTTGCGACGGACATCGAGGTCCATCTTAGACCACACATCTTTATTGACCCTTCACAGACCCTCCCTCCATTATTCGTGAGCGTTGGCTTCCAAGAACATTTCAGAAATAGACTAAAGTTGCACAAGTCCTTTGAAGCCGTATCAAGATTGTATTCTAATGAAAAGAAATATATAGTTACCCCCCTTGGCGACAAAGATATCAAAATTAAAGAATAGATTAAACAATCACCAAGTTTCTTTTTGTTTTTTTGAAGAAGAAGATGACGTTTCGAGCTACCACTGCAAAATTACATCTTATACATAAATATCACAATCCAAGAAAAAATAAAATAGAAACAAAATATGGAAAAAAATGAGAATTTATAGGAAAGAAAAGCGTTTATTTAAACCAAATGGTCGTACGGTTCCCATATTGAAGATTAATCTCTTTTCCAGTCATTCCCTTTTGTGAATGTTTGTCAGAGCACTAATAAGTCCCAGAATCGAAAAGTCATCAACTGTATGGTTGTTGATGATGAAATGTTTGCCTCTAGGTGTATCTTGGTTCTGCAGTTTAATATGGTTTTGATGTTTTCGTGCTCGATAACCGAGTCGGTGGCCTGTTTGTCCAATGTATAAACTATTCCATTTTTTATATATTTTTTTGCAAAATATACAGTAAATGATACATTCAGTGGTATATGTAAAAGACTGTCTTATGTTGAGAATTGTGTTTTTGTCTTCGTATATGTGTAGTGCTGTTTATATGTGACACACTTGTTTCGTTTACATGTGTGAGCGCCTGGAGTATCAATTTGCTTTTGTTTAAAGTTACTGTGTATCAAGATTTCTATTAGATTTTTGTCATCTGTAAGAACTAATAGTGGGAAGAAGGGGGGTCTTGAAAAGAGATTTACTACAGTAGTAGTGTTGTGTAATTGTTTAGTATAATATATTTGATCTTCTTGTTAGTCTGCTGGTATGTTACACAAGGGGAATACAATCGGTATGTTCTTTCTTGCTAGAGTTCAATGTTTGCTCCTAGGTGTATAAAATAGCTGGATCGTGAATGAGAGAATCAGGGTATTGTCTATTAGAAAAGATAGTTTCATGGATAGTTTGGATTTTCTTTTATAATCATTATCATCCCAACATAGTTTGAGTACTCGTAGAAATTATAGGTACGGTATTGACGTTTTGTTACTTTACGGGTGGGAAGATTCGAAATGTAGGTACGTGTGTGAATGTGTTTCTTTGTAATGCATACTAATGATCAGATGGTCATCTTGTATGTATTAGGTCGTCAAGAAATTAATGTCGCTTTTTTTAGATGAAAAACCCGAACAACTTATATATCAAAACAAAATATTTATTAAATGAAATAGTCTCCATTCTTATCGATGATGCTTTTCCATCTTACAATCAGGTTGTTAATGCCCTGATTAAAGAAAACACTTAGCTTTGATGCAAATAACTTCGAAATGTATTACTCCTTTGATGTCCCACCAAATGCAAAGCATCACTTTCTGCGGATGGAATCCAGGTTTTGGGGTCGGAAGTGGTTTTTCTAGGACCGAGCCATTGTTTTTGGCGTTTAATATTCGCATAGAGAATCAATTTCTCATCATAGGTAACAATCCTGTTCAAAAATGATCATCGGAGAGTTTGGGAGGCACCCAAACACCTTCTTTATGGAGTTTTTCCATATTCCTTAGATGTTTCATAAGAGACATGCAATTTCAGGGCCATTTCACCAGTGTGCTGCCTTGGGTTAGACTCAAAAAGCGTCTTCAGAGCATCAATATCAATTCCAACATGTCGGCCGCTGCCATCACAGTTTTTAGGACTAAAGTCACCTAAACGAAATTTGCTGAACTATCGTTGACACTTACGAACGTTCAAAATATTTCCATAAACTTCTTTGATATTCTTTGTGGCTACAGAGGCGTTGTTTCTCTTCTTGTATCCAAACAGCATTAGATGTCGAATGTGTGTCTCGTCGTGTACCATTACTATAAGGGATTAAAGTATACTAAACTTTACACGTTATATAGGCTACACTAACGTGACGTTTAGGCGGTTCGTTTAAATATTATACGTGATGTACATTTTTTGGGGGTGGTTAATGAAAGTGTTCCAAAACGCGACATTAATTTCCTGAAAACCTAATACATACATACACACACACACATACATACACATATACATGTTACAGTGTGTCACAATTAACCACAGTGATGATAATACAAAAGTTAGCCAAAAAAGTAAGTAAACTATTCTAGCATACTTCAAACCATCGAATAGTAAAATAATTATTTTTAGAAAAATAGAATAGCAGGATTAATTGTATGAAACTAATGTTGGTACGTGTTACGTAGAATACTTACACTTTGTTATGTTATTGATCAAGTTTCTTGCATTATAGCTAGATATTTGATTCTCACAACAACCATACAGCAAGGAGACATAAGCATTAGTTGTCTGCTTGAGTGTCATTTTTAAAAACATTATATTTTCAAACTAGGTTTACCTATATGTTTTTTATTCTATCTTATTTAGACTTTTGACTTCACGTCACTATTGGTTTCCTTATAAGGTAAAAACTGCTGTGGAGAAGTGCTCTTTTAGGGAACATATGTCATTATCAGGAAACCCTTTTCTCTTTGCCAAAAAAAAAGTCGAAGTTGCGTATATAAACCAGAACATGGGACAACGTAGTAGTCTTTAAAAGGTTAGTAAACCGGCTGTTGATTATATAAAGCAGGACATGGGACAACGTAATAGTGTTTAAAAGGTTAGTAAACCGGCTTTTGATTATATAAAGCAGGACATGGGACAACGTAATAGTGTTTAAAAGGTTAGTAAACCGGCTGTTGATTATATAAAGCGGGACATGGGACAACGTAATAGTGTTTAAAAGGTTAGTGAGCCAGTTGTTGATATACTTGAAATCGTCGCGGTATATACATACCTTTTCAATATTTTTTTGTATTTTCGAAATTTCATGAACCCAGTTTCCTGTCTATTATATGTTCATTGAAAACATAAAACTTTTTTTTTCACCTTGGTCTACCAAAAACTCGTTACTCAAACTTGTCTAGAAAGCTATCCATTTTTAAGTCTTTGCACTCTACTTTTTCTAAGGCCCGGCGTGGCCAGGTGGTTAGGGAGCTCGACTCGCAATCTGCGGGTCGTGGGTTTGAATTCCCGTCACACCAAACATGCTCGACCTTTTAGCCGCGGGGGCGTTATAATGTGACGGTCAATCCCCCTATTCGTTGGCAAAAGAGTAGCCCAAAAGTTAGCGGTGGGTGGTGATGACTAACTGCCTTCCCTCTAGTCTTACACTGTTAAATAAGGTACGGCTAGCGCAGATAGCCCTCGTGTAGCTTTGCGCGAAATTAAAAAAACAAAACAAACTTTTTCTAATTTCAACTACAATTTGGTCTTGGTATTTTCAGTCTGTATTTTCAGCCAGGTTAAATGTCCTTAATTTTCAGCTACTGAGCAAGGAGAAGGAAGTAAATCAGCATACCCGCCACTACAAGTATTTTGTCCGGCTCTTTGAACCGAATAACGGAATTGTCTGTCGCTTTTATAACGCGCCCACAGCTAAAAGTTATCGGAGTCACAGTTCTACCTTTGGACCTTCCGGTCCGTGGTTTGGAATGAGAATTGCCAGGGAACGCACGGACATAAATACTATGAAAAAGGCCGTTCGTGTGTAATAGACAGAAATAATGGGAATTTCATTAACAAATCGTTACTGAAACTAACTTTCGTTTTGTCTTTTCATACCAGATATAACCAAATCATTCAATTACAATACCTAAAATATTAATCTGATTTTATTTAAAATGTAAATTTAAGATCTGGAAAAATAAAACTATATGACGTCAAATTTGTGGGTTAATTCAATTGGGCTATGAAAAAATAAGAAACCAATATGTCTCCTCCACGCAATCCCAAACTTTTGACACCAGAAAATATCGTGAAAAACCACAGAAAAATCAAAAACTGTCTATATCACTGTTTGGGGCCTGCATTAAGGTTACTTTGTACCAAATCCCATGTAAGTTGGTTGACATACACATGAATAGTTCGCAAAAACACCAAATTGTGCTTTTCTTGTGTGCTTTAACACCTCTAAAAAGACTCAAAATGAGCAGATTCAACTTTTTTTAGATTAATTTATATTTGTTCTAATTTCCATCTTGGCTGCTGTAAATATGACCACACAGAAGATCAAAATAAACGTTTTAGGGTTGTTTGACTTTTGACTCCATAAAATCCTTAAAAAGGCCTCTATGTGTATTAGACCAAAATGTAACCCTAACAAGATTCAAGTCAATCCGCCCACAAATGAAGGACTAAGTTTCGATTGAAAAGTGTTTGAAAAAAAAGGAAAAAAAAGAAGGAGAAATAATAGAAAAACTGCACGTCTCTCAGCGGAGACATCAAAATCTACGATAACCTTTTTAATTATTTTTCAAATTCCTCGTGGAATGGATCTATAAAAATTTAAGTGTGAATTATTCTTCCATATACTACTTAATGAACTGTTTCGATATTAGTCATAAATTCAAATAGTATAAAAGTGGGAAAGGTATTAACAGACATTTTTCTGTTTTAGAAAAAACACAGAGGTTATTTACAATAAAAATGTATAACAATGGTCGTGAAATGTTCATCCTTAGATTACAAAGGTTTGTATTGTCGGTGTTTTTCATTTATTCAAACTAAATTATGACAGAAAATGATTTAGAACAACTGACCTCCTAGACTGGATTTACTGGGATTAGGCATCTTCTCTATACATTCCAATGTCCTGTTAACGCTCATCTCGTCATCATCGCTGTCATCACACCTTCTTGAAGGGTCAGTGTTATTTTCTTCTTTGTTTCTGGTAGATTCATCATCCCCATCATCGTCAATGTCATCATCTTCACATCGATTACGTGGTGACCACGTCATTTTGTTTTCTTTTTTAAGACGACGTCTGGCATTTGCAAACCACGTGGATACTTGAGTCAGTGTCATTTTGGTAATTATCGCAAGCATGATTTTTTCTCCTTTCGTTGGATAAGGATTTTTGCGGTGCTCGCTTAACCAAGCTTTTAATGTACTTGTTGTTTCTCTGGTAGCATTTTTTCGTCTAGCTCCATTTAAGTCCATCCCGTATCTAAAAAAGAACAACATCGTGATTTGAGTTTTTTTTAATTAAAAATACTTCTATGTATAAATTCAGAACATAAAAGAAAGCTTTAAATAAATGTAATTCTTTCTACATATAAATCTAAAAATATGCTCCTTAACGACTTTTTATTATATCACGATGAACTTTCGAAGATGTTCAATTGTGCTGTTTTTATTAGGTTCTAGAATGAATTGTAATTAAAAGATCAAATTAGCTGATCATTTTATTTGAATGAAAATAATGTTCGTTTTTGCTGAACACTTTGATCTACGCAGAAAACGAAGCAGACATGAGGTAAGGAAAGGGCCAAAATCGATCGGACAGCTTAAATTAACAAAAGTCATTAATATTTGGGGAGAATAAGTAGGGAAAGCCGAGATTTAACTGTAGTGAAATCTTCCATGCGGCATTTCACGACTAAACCACTACACAGAGAAATATTGCACTGATTCAGGTTTACTTATAAATATTTAAGGCTTGACTCTAACTTGTCACGCAAATCATTCAATATTTAAAGATAAACTTCTTTTACTTCATTATCTTTATGTTGAGCTGCAAGTCTTTGCTTTTGATTGTAATTTTACTTCTGAAACATCCTCAAATAATAGACTTTCGAACAATTTAAGTCTACATTGATATAACCATGTATAACTTCACGACTTCTTACGCAAAACCACCCGTTTTATATAGGAGTGTAGTTTTTAAAACACACTACAACAGCATGAGGTAAACTCAGACACAATATATACATGTACTACTGAATTGGGGGTTTAACCACAGGGAACCGGAACCAACGGATACCAACAGTACACTAAATTGATTTAGAAATCTCGTCCACTTGTGGTGAGACATGCAATCCATTAGTCTTGAAGGTTAATGCTTCCTTTTCGGAAATTCAATCCCCAGATTCTGGTCAATCGCTATTTATACGTATTTACACGTTAACACAGAGAAATATGAAGCTATTCATAGGGTTTTCCTTTGGTGAAAATAAAACAGCGTTTCCTATATCTATATATGCAATATAGTCAGTATTTTCCATTTCATTAAATTATATAAATAATTTAAAGATCCTTTCTTAATTATTTCTATAACAAAAGATCTGGAAATTCAAAGAAAAGAAAGTAGATCTCAACTAAAAACAAGTTTGTTTGTTTTTGAATTTCGCGCAAAGCTATAAGAGTCCCTAATTTAGCAGTGTAAGACTAGAGGGAAGGCAGCTAGTCATCACCACCCACCGCCAACTCTTGGGCTACTCTTTTACCAACGAATAGTGAGATTGACCGTCATATTATAACGCCCCCACGGCTGAAAGGGCGAGAATGTTTGGTGGGACGGGGATTCGAACCCGCGATCCTCAGAGTGCGAGTCGAGCACCCTAACCATCTGGCCATGCCGGGCCGCTAAAAACATATGTCCCGTGATAAAGTATGTTTAAGTAAGAATAAAAGAAAACTTTATTTATAATTTTTAATTTCGTTGTTTTTATGTTAATAAAGGACGCAAATGGGCGCTGAGTTGTCTCTACTTATCCATTTTGATACTTGGAAAACAATCAAAATAAGAAATATATAAAGATTAATTAAAATTCACTCTATCATCCAGGTGGCGTTTTCAGAAATTAATTTTTTTCTTCCAAGGGTCATTACTATTTTTCATTTTACTGTAAATTTCTTGATGCATGTCCGGCCAGAAACAGAATGCTACTGGCATTTATATTCATGGTAAAATAAATCATTTTGTTTGTTTGTGAAAAAAGATGGTTAAAGTTAATAAAAGCGATTAACTCGTGCTAGCATGTGCTAAAAATCAAGGCTAACAATACTCAACTGTATATGGAAGGAATGTCTTTAAGCAACAACAGAAAAGTGAGACACATCAAAGAATAATGAGCACTGATGATGCCTAAATTATTAATCAAGCATTATGAAATTATAAATGCAGAATAAATAATATTGAACTAATAATCATGTTATGAGTTGTATTTATATAGGAGATGGCGAAAAACAGGTTACCAATTATGATGCAATACCAACAAAATATAGCACACATTAGAGCAAAGTAGTCATCTTTGGTTTATGAACGGTGACGATGAAACCAGTGATGAAGTATGGTGCTAAGTATCAAAATTTCATTCACCGAACAGATATTTGTTTGCGAATGAAGTGAGAACTTAGCCTGAAAAGAGCTCAGTTTCTAATAATAATAATAAAACACTTAAAATTAGGTAGTTTTAACGAAGCGTGATCAGATTTGTTTTGTAACGAGTTCTCTAGATAATGGTTTGAAAGCTATATGCGAAATATTGGTTGACTTTAGATGTTGCAGGTACAACAACATTTTTCATTATGGGCACCTAAAGCAAATTTCAAAAACATACATTCAACAATTTGTTGACATCCAGTCTCCCGTTAGATGTATCCAAGCTCAAAACACACAGAAGAATTGTGTTTTTGTTCTCTCAAGTACAACAATAACTTATCAATGGAATTTTATTAGTTTTATAATCGTTATCTGACACAAATAGCCTATTCGCTTCTCAGACAAGTGAAGTTAACCCTGGTCATAAGACTCCTTTCTGCATGCTCTTCGTATGTATATCAGGTTTAGACAGGATGTATATTACCATCACTTAGTGGAAAAGCCGGCTGGTATTGATGTGTTTGAAACATAAGAACATAGATAGATGCTCATTAAAAATGTTCAGTTCTACAGGTTTACTTATCACATGACCAGCGTCATCATTTAACGTCCTTGTAGACGTAAGACTTATCGAAGCTAGATTGTTTAATAGATCGAGATTTTTGTAGTCACACGTAGGACTCGTCCTTGTTGATAAAATAGGAATCTCATTATAGAGGTCCACGAACTGAATAGTACATGTTTTCATGATAAAACAAGTTCAGCTTGTAAGAAAATATAAATAAATATATAAAAAAGACGAAAACAGCGAAAGGAAATTAATTCAGTGTTCGAAAGCAATCAGACATACTGCATACTGATAAAACAAACCATAGATATCTTCAAAATGATATATTTTTTATATGTGTTTGTACATAACAACATATTTGTGTTTGTAAGTGTAATAGGTATGTGTGTACCTGCTCACAAATTACTTCACCAGATAGTGACTTACTAGACAGCTCTTGTTAGACTCAGATCACCAGAATAGAGTTCACAAAAGCTCACTGAATCATATCTCAGTAAAGAGCATTACGCCAGTCAATAAATTGTTATTATTAGTTCCGACATCATTCTTTCTCGACAAATAACCTTTCAGAAGTAATCTAAAAATTATTTTAACTTTTTTTTATCTAATCAGCTTTTGCTTGAAGAGTGATAGAAAAAATTGTATTTTCCACATTTTATAACATAGTAAGCTATTATCTGAAAAACGTATGTCCGAGCAAGGCTACAAGGCATTTATTTTTCACATTTTATAGTGAGTTATTATCTGAGGAGCTTATTCTTAAGTAGCATTGAAATGCCTACATTTTTCATATTTTTTAATCTGGTGAGATGTTACCAGAGGAGCTTATGCTTGAGAAGCGTTAATAGACTTGTATTTTTACATTTTATAGTGAGCTTTTATCGGATGTATGAGTTGATGTCTGTGTATCGGCAAGAAAATTGTATTTTCACATTCTAAGTAAATCATTATCTGGCAAGTTTATGCCTGAACAACCCTAAACGATATTATTACATACATAAAGAGAGTAAATCTTATACAAAGGGTTGAGTACATTATACTAAAACAATTTTGAATGTCCAAATTAAAAGGTTACATGACAACCATACCCGATATAGAGTAGTGGTGGAACAGATTGTATTAGAACTACATTTTATCGTTGTTCAGTGTTGCGAAGACAGTGTGATGCCAAAACTGATCGCTTTTGTGAAGGATATGTAACAGCCCTTTCCGAGGCATTCGGGTTATAAAGATGTGTTTAGACGGAGTATTTAGAATTTCCAAGACGGGGATATCCCTTGTACTTGATAGCATTTGAAAACAAAAGAATATAGATCAACTTGGGGCACCGGAATCATCCTGCAACAATTCGTACCTCTACCTTGGCAAGCTAAGTACGGCGTTTTGTAACAAGTGAAAATCCACGAACACAGGTCAGTGACAAAAGGTATTCATGTCCCCCAGGCAACAGTAAGTAACATAATCAAGTAGGATCTTCGCCTAGAAACGAGGCTAATAGGTTATGGGTTCCACAATGACATATCTCAAGGAGCTGGAGAATGAAACAGGTATTCATGTTATTCCATACAAAGACGTTCCGGTCAAGTCGCCAGACGCAGCGCTTTTCAGTTTCTGTGCGGTCGGACTGTTGAAACGGGCAGTGGGAAACCGTTGTCCTTGAATACTAGCTGGATTATTAAAGGCCAGCAGGAAAGAGTGGTGTGCTTTGGACATGACAGTCAAACCACTGAGCGTTTATGCGATGGATACTACACTGCAAAACTATTATCAAGATTTGAATCGTCAGATAGAGTATGACCGGACTTGATTTCATGGCTGTATCGACGTGTGATGCTCCAAAATCGTTTCAATATGACGTGCTCAAACTTTGCACAACTCTGTGCTCTCTCGTATGTAGCTTACAGGTATTATAAAAGCTACTACTCTCTCATTTTTCTACGTGCATAAACGTATCATTATAGCGCAAATAAAGAAATAAAAGACCATTCTCATTACATATACCGTCAATTTCATGAAACGATTCCAAATCATGCAGGAACTTTTAACTTCTCAATGTACATATTAACAACTTTATAGATCTCTAACTCTATTATATAGTTACCTATTTGTATACATTTTGGAGGTAAGCCTTGTTGTTAGGTCTTAAATTATGGACCACCTATAAGGGATACAGCCCCCCCCCCCCAGTGGCACAGCGTATGTCTGCGGACTTACAACGCTAGAAACCTGGTTTCGATACCCGTGGTGGGCAGAGCACAGGTAGCCCATTGTGTGGCTTTGTGCTTAACTTCAAAACAATAACAACTATAAGGGGTACTACGTGTTTGTGAAATTGGTAATGTACTTTTTTTTCCCTCATGACAATTTACATAATTATTCTTGCACTGTTGCTGCTGTTAAGAAGAGGGCTTAGTCCAAATAAATCTTTGCTTTTTTTATTCTGCTGGTCAGAAGAGAGCTTAATCAAATTTAATCTTTGCATTTTAAATGACAACTCATTTTACTGCACAGATTTATTCTCAGAGTAATCAAAAATTATTGCGAAGCTATTTCACGATGTGAAGTCATTTCAAGAAATCGGTTATTTCACTATGTGGATACAACATATTGAACGACACACTGTTTATATGAAGGTTACATTATCACATAGTTCCTAAGGCAAGTAAAATTCTATAAAGATTCACGAACGAAACTGCTTAACGATCAAAGAATAACATCATACACTGACCTACGAGTAAGATCGTACAATCGTATGGGAATAGATCTTACCTCAGTAAATCTGTATCATGATCAGGAGTAAAATGCTATAACGATCTATATACAAGTAAAATCATATAACGGTGAGAAGTAAATTCTTGCAACTATTTTAGTGTATATCTTACCAGAGTAAAACTACATAACAATCAATAAATAAAATTGTCTAATGTTAAATGCACCAAATAGTCTCGAATTCCGCTCAGTAGTGAAAGTGCTAATTTGAAATTTAAGCTTAATTCTCTACTAAATAGTTTCGAGTTGCACGAATAATTTAATTCAACAATCTGCCAGTTAAATCCTTTAGAAATCCACTGGTGAATTATTTTGCATGGGTAAAACATCTAGTAATTAGCAGGTAATATCATCGAAAGAGTAAAATAAGCTGGAGTTCTCTAACATTGTCAATATATAATGAAATAGCTCGTAGAATATAAGCAGCTGCGTAATATACAACATAATTGTTTCATTCAGAATTTGCTCTCAGTCCTTCCGATTTCTTACTGATCAGTTATAAGCATTTGTGCTTCAAACAGTAAAAAAATGCTTACAATATCTAACAAGTAAATAAATAAGAGATAATAAATTGATAAGTAAGAACTAAGGATGTAATCTCAACTATACATATATATATATACGCACTGTACGTTCATTGTATTGTCAAACTTAACACGATACTTGCCCATTCGGAAATGGATAGTTTCCCAAAGTAGCCGAATCATACGGGTAATACATTGGTCCAGCATAAGATAAACTTCTCCAAGCTTCCAAATTTTCTTTAATGTCGAACCCATTTGCCTAAAAATGAATGGAAAATTAGACATACAGTAATAATAATAATACAGTATATTTTTGGTAATATTAGTGTAGTACTCAGTTAATATCGTATTGTTTTAACACGAATCAATTTTTCCTTATCTTGTTTTTTTTTTTTCATTTCGGGGTATGAAAGCTGCGAAATATGTGAACAAGCAAAAACATTACGTTCAAACAATGTTTTATTATTATTACTTTGGTTCAATTGAACAAAGACTTTTAGTTTCATTGGTAATTTCCTCACAAAAAAAAAGAAGAATGATTTTAAGAATTATGTATGAAACTTTCATATAATTCTACAATAGAGGCAACAGTTTCATAAACGAAGCTCCTTTATTTTATGCCATAATGCTTGAATTAAACGAAATTCTTCATATATATATATATATATATATATATATATACTACTACAACTAATGTACTTACTTAACTTTTTAAAATTAGTTAGGTTACGTAAACTTACTTTTTACTTT